GATCTTTCCAAACTTGAGAAAATACTAAATAGCCTTCCTTCCTACTTTTGAATTCAAATTTAGTTATAAGAGAATGTGTAACATATACATTTTTCCAGTGAATGATCATTGATTTTTCAAACCGACAGTCTAACATGAAACATATCTGCCCAATTTATATAGTATGTTAAATGGTCAATTGCCAGGTTCGGAGCATTTCAGATCTAAATGGGGAGGGGGAGGATGTTTTGAAGTAGAAATGAGCATGGACATAGCATCACTCAGCAATTCCTTGTACCCTACAGTCCAAGGAAAAGATGCAGCTGCTGAGAAGGGCTCTGTTACTGCAAGCTGTGAAACATCTAGTAAATTATACATTTTTTTGCAGTTAAGAGTTTTAAAGTATTATTTTTATCCTGAATAATTTGACTCTTGAAAAGATGGTTGATACCTCATAACTGTTCAAACCTAGTAGCAAACTTTACTCATCACCATATGCTAGGCCATCCTAACTTCCATTATTCCACTGATATACAAGTGAAAGGTTGCAATTACTATTAAATTGCAGCAAAGAGACATAACAACAGTAGGAATTTTAATAGTGTATTACCTGGAAGAAAATTAACCTTGAATTTAAAACAATCTCTCCCTCCCCACAAAGAAAATTAGATAGAACGTTTCAGTTTTGGTCCATAATTTATTATGGACTGCAGAGCCTGGTTTAGCTCTGCAGACTAAAGCACCGTAATTAACATCCAGCTGTCTGCAATTACACCAGTTCGAATCTCCCCAGGCTCAAGGTGGACTCAGCCTTCCATCCTTTCTAAGGTAGGTAAATTGAGGACCCAGTTTGTGGGGGCAATAAGCTGACTTTGTATAAATATACAAAAGTATGAAGGCTATTGCTTAACACATTGTAAGCCGCCCTGAGTCTTCGGAGAAAGGCAGCATATAAATCAAATTAAAAAATAAAAAAAAATAAAAAAATGAATCTTATTGACCCCAACAAGAATCTATATTTCCGAATACATGGCATGAAAGTGTATAACACAGCTATGGAGAAATTAAATATTTATAGAAATGACATGTCTAGTAACAATTGCCATTAATTGGCTTTAAATAAGGAACGCAAGTTACACAACAGACCTACCTAACCTCTATCAATCTATCCAAAACTTGTTTTCTCAGTAACAAGTGGGTTGTATACATACATATATACAAAGTAGTTTGCACACACACAATAATGGCTACTCCATGGGGATAAATGCAAACATGCATATTATGCATATTATGTAAAAAGTCAACTGTACTCAGCCACTTCCAGGTTAAGTATAGGAGGGCTTCTGCAATGCTGAAAACGGATTTGAATTGCCCATATTTTTTTCATAACTAGTGAAGAGATCAAGAGTCTTGAACCCTTCTTCCCTTCCCTTCCCTTCCCTTCCCTTCCTTTTCACAAAGGAAACAGACTGGTATGAGGTGCATGCAGAGTGTTTCCCTGAGTTCAGTAGTCCTCACTCCTAAGAAATGTATTTCAGCAACGGCCACATCCTCTCAAATACTCACTGTAGCAGTTTCAAGGACTTACCCACATCATCCACCTATGTATATGCATGCCTGGAAAATGTATCTGTCAGAACTATCATTGAAGTGACTCACATATACAACACCACCCCATCCACCGGTAATAACTGGGAGGAAAAAATGTTTTTCTCCCACAAAATATGGTGCAGTGCCTCAGAATTATCATTCTTTGAGCAAACTCTTTACTTATGATCAGCAATATTTATTTTGTTTCCTAAGCATTTTTCTGCCAGTGCAGTCTACTTTTTCTCAGATCCATTGGTTGTGACAACTCGCTTGAGGCCTGACATTGTGGGCTAAAAGGAAAGGCACTGTCTCAAAGTCACCCAGCTGGTTTTCCTACCTAAGGCAGGACTAGAATTCACCAATTGCTTGGTTTTTAGCCTGGTACCTTAACCATGACAACAAACTGGCTTGTCTAATTATCACCGTGATATTATTAAATTCTGTTTCTGTTTTATTTTCTTGGATTTATTTGGATTTCCAACACTTCTTTCTTTATCCCAATCAAACAACTCAACAATTTTTGCCAAATACTAGATTCATCCATTTTAGCTTCTCAGCCAACCTTTATTTGGAATTTTTTAGGTGTATGAGGTGAGAATTGGCAGGATATATAAAACACCTATTAGACCACATTCAAGATCAGATTCTGTGTAGAACAGGGCTGTCAAACTCCCAGCCCATGGACTGGATGTGTCACATGCTAGCCACACCCAAACCCAGTTTAGCGAAGGGGGGAAAAGTCCCCGATACGTCACGTGACACCGCCGTGACGACGTTTTGACACCCCTGATGTAGACCTATGAATGGCTACAGTGAAATAGTACACTGGAATCACCAGAACAAGCAAGCAAACACACTTCATTGCAACTGCATCAAATTCCTAGTCACCTATTAAGAGTTTGAGTTTTTTTTTTATTTTAAAGTAATGTATCTATTAATATTTTTTGTTGTAAGCTGCCCAAACCACAGTGTTCAAGACAGCCATATAAATAACAAATAAAATATCTCTATTTTTTTCCCCATACAAGATTAAATACCCTGAAGGGAAAAGAGAGAGAGAAAAAAAAAAAAACAGGCTTGTTTTCATTGAATTTATCCTGGAGTTACTTGCTTTCAAGTTGCCATTTCTGTGAGGATCCACATATGTGTTTTTGATATTTAATCTTTACTTTCAATTTTCATGTGGATAATGGACCAAGCAAATAGAATCTTAACTATACAGAAATCAAGGATGGTTTTGTAGGCATATTCCTAAACCCCCCTTCTGTATTACTTTCTATTCAACAACCCAGGATCTGTAGTTTTGCTTTTAATCACACAACGCTTTGGTTTTTTTCCATGAAAATGTGTCACTCTGTAAAACTGATAATTCAAAACATTTCACATAAATCCCAGTGAAAACCTCCTAAGTGCAAGCCCTTTGCAGTCTGCTTTAGTTACAAGGAGACCAAGTTCCACGTGAATGTGAAAAACTCCCATCATTAATCACACTATCATCTATCTAGCAATCTGCAGCACCTTAAATTCTCAAAGGAATTCAGATCAACCTAATGAATTCCAATTAAATCTGAAAACTCCAATGGGTTTTTTCTTTTTTCTTTTTCTTTTTTTCTGTTTTCTTTATTTCAGAATTAGAAACAGGGAAACTACAAAACATGAAAGATTAGTGCAATTATGTCACATAGGAAATAGCACTCTATCACTCAGGACAATAATTCAAAATCATCACCAAATTAAATCCCAAAACATCCTGATTGTGAAACAAGGGGGAAAAGGCCAGTAGTGGATTCCTCTTACCTTTGCTACTGGTTCAGAACCAGGAGCGTGCACATGCAGTGCAGAACCTTCTGATGATGTCCGGATGGATTGGCGGAGCATCCCACCACCACCACTACTTGTTTGCCCAAACTGGGGCGAACTGGTAGAAAACCACCACTGAAAAAGGCCTTCTTATACCACAAAAGAAGGCAGTTTCAGTTGGAATGCCTGCATGGTCTCCCTATACACTCTCCAGAGCCCCTCCTTGAGGTGGTTTAGAAACATGGAATACAAACAAACACATTGTCTTTGAGGCATAACCCAAAGTACATACTGATTTTTTTTAAATTACCTGAATGATTAGAGATCAGGGCACACTTGAAAGATGACCTTTTCCCATTCACATTTAGGGAGTTTCTGAATACCCCAGAAATGCGCTTAATTGAGACTAAGAAAAACTTTGGCAGCTGAACTTAACTAGTTTTTAGGGGAAAATTCATTTTTTTCAAAAGAGTAGGCTGCTTCATCTCTTCTCTAATTATAGCCTTCTGCAAGTTGGTGAGGCTTTAGCTTTTCAGGAGAGCATTTGGGCTGTGAATTGCTGTTTCACTGAACTGAGTTTCAGCAGTCTCTGGTTTTTGAATAATTTATTTCTGTTCTATTCTGTTTTTCACTGCTGTTATATTGTTATATAGTACAGGTCATTTAAAATTGTTAATTTATGGTTTTTATCCTTGCTGGATGCTTTTGAGTTCTCCTGAGCAAAAGTGTGGCACCAATTCATGTCTGATTTTATGCCAGAAGGAAAGAGAACATACACCCACTTTGACAAACTTACTCTTTGCTTCCTGGAAAGTTTAGGGGCAAGTTTAATTACAATCATCCAGTCGTGACAGTGCTACCCATAAGCAACAAATTACTATACTGCAAATTACAACTTGGTGGCTATTTCCTTCTTAAAGCAATAACTGTCAGTCCTATTATCTGAAATGAGCTAAATCTGAACATGTTTAAATTATCCCCGCAGCATTTACTTATAGATGTGGAACAAGCCTTCTAGCAAACTCTTTGACACATATAGTATGGCAAGGTGGTTATGCAACTACTAGTACTGTAGTACTACTTCTAATTTTTTTTATTTGGTATGTACAGTATGTACAGTTATAAGCAAAACAATATAAAAAAATCAGAAAATAAACTAGCATCAACAATATGCCAATATAACAATGAATTAAAGAAGGCTGCACTTTGGCCCATGCAGAAAACTGGGGGTGGGGGGTGGAAATCAGGCTTCTGATTTTATGACTTTTTTTTCAAGTAGAGCCACACTAGTGAGGTTACATACATCTAGATCTGAGGTGTGGAACTATGACCCCTTTATGACTTGTGGACTTCAACTTTCAGAATTCTGGGAGTTGAAGTCCATGAGTCATAAAAGGGCCATAATTCCACACCCGTCAGACTGACGGCCCATGGGCCAGATGTGTCACGTGCAGGCCACACCCACCCCATCTCTGTGAATAGGGAAAACATCACGAAATGTCACATGACAGCAACATGGCGCAGCAAGTTTGACATCCGTGCTCTAGATTAGATGATCACCACATGGTTTTTAAGGGGCTTTTTTAAAATCTGTTTGCTGTCATCTTTTTGGTTATCTCAGTTTTTGCAGCCTAGATCTTACAGGCTTGATAAAAGGTTAAGTAATTACACTGAAGGAAAATACAACCTAAGATACGTTTTCTAGACAATTTGGTAATATAAAATAATATTTTAAGTGATATGCACCCAGCACCAAACTTAAAATAGAGTGGTAAAGATTCTTCATATTAACCAAATGAACTCAAAGAAACCCAAAGCAATACACACACACACACACACACACACACACACACACACACACACACGGATTCTGAAATGCATGAACGTTTTTGTCTCTCAGAAGTTATGTTATAAATGATGCCATAAATTTTGCACAAGATAAACAGAATTATCTAAATACCAAAATAGAAAAACTGCCAGTCTGCATCATCATCTTTCCGTAAGGTGTCCTTAAATATTTCCTATTTCTGAGAAACTGCATACCTTAAAAGAATGCATTTGTCCTCCGAGCAAACAAAGAATAATGATCACTAACAGAAAAAGCACACTTTGTAGCACCACACTGTACCAATTCAAGCTCCACACAGCTGAAGCAAAGCCACATATAAATGCTTAGAAATGTGATATATGAATTTAAGTTCTTAAAATAATCTAAATGATGGCTGTCCCTTGGTTAGGAAGGTCACCTGAGTCCTTGTTCCAGCCTCTAGAGTACAGACTGGATGAAGCTGAGATAAAGTGTGTGCAAACTTTTTTGAGCTGCACGCCTCTGTTTATTTAAACATAATTTAAATAAAAACTTGAATCTACTTAACATGTTTGTTTGTTTATATGTGTGTGTGTACATGAAACACTCCACAAAAATATTCAAGCAGAATGATCTGAAGTTTGAAAGTTACTCATCTTCCAGAAATTTAATTGTTCATCTTCACCACTTACAGCCAGTTTATAAATTCTATAAATAAACAAAATACAGGTAGACCACATTTACCAATCTCACACACACCCTTCCCAAGGAGCGGAGAGAGATTGGAGAGGAATTTCAAGAGAGAAGAGATACATTTACTCTGTTTCACACCTTTGGCTTTTGTTTGCCTCCTAACAATTTGGAATGCTCAATTCCTTATTGTTTTGTACATATTGAAAGCAACATGACTATTCCATAGCCACCGAACAAGTATATAGTATTCTCTTGAAATCTCTTCCTCTCCAATCTCTCTGCTTTGCGAGGGGGAGGGGGGAACCAAGCAATTTCTATAGGCAGTGTCTCTTTTGCCAGTCTCTTTCCCACTGCCAGTGTGATCATATTGCTTTCAATGTATACAAGTGCAGAAAGTTTTTCAGCCAAAAAGCACAGTCACAGTCACATGATTTCTCACTTAGTGACTGTTTCGCTCAGAGGTGGAATTGCTAGTCACAATTAGGGTCATTAAGCATGGATCACCTTAACTCAACTGTATTTGAGTATAACATTTTAAATTAACAACATCCCACTTTTCTACTGATAAAATCTTGAAACAAATCCATATTCAATGTCATTTCAAAATTTATTAGTCTCTAAAGTACTTCATTCCTGAGATGGTGAGGTATAGGAGTGCACAGATGTTTAATTGGGCTGTAAGGACAGGCTGGGTGTATTTCTGCTGTACTGAATATGATGCTGCTCAGTTAGATTGTTCTCTGGTGAATGCTGGCATCATTATGCCTATAATGTTGAGTGACTTCAACATTCATGGTTTGGGTGTGGACCTGGGAAAGTGCAGAGAATAAAAAAGATAACCTCGGAGAGAGGGAAGATTCATTACCAAAGCAAAATAAAGGAAAATATTTCATAGGTCCAAATGATGGGGGAGGATTACACAAATGTCTCAGACAGACACTCCTCCAAATTCACATGAATATTAAAAAAAGAGAGAGAAAGCACAATCAGAGATCAAGTTTATGTTATGATAGTTAATCTAAATAAAAGTAGTTTTTAGTCTTCCATGAAGCCTATTTCTTCATCTGCTCGATCTTGTAGGGGTGACAGAAAACCAAAAGTTCAGTGTCACCATGTATGTGACAAATGCAGGAAGTCATATGTTTGACCTTGGAATAGTAATGTGGTGGTTTCAATATGGAGAGCATTACATCCAGCCTGGTGCCATGGTAGGATTATCTTTTGGTCCAGTTCAGGTTAATTGCAATTCAGGAGTTCTGCAGCACTAAGACCCGACAGGATCCATGATGTAATGTATTCCAGAGCATACTTAGACTGTTCCCAATGATATCACAGGCAGTGCAATTGAAGGCCTTGTTAACTTTTGACAACAGGAGGCAAATTGGGCTCTTGACAAAATTGCTCCAAACCACCATTCTTTGTGGGCCAATATTAGGGTATATCCTAGTTAATTGGAAAACTCCAGGAGATGAAATGCTTAAAATATCAGTGCAGGAAATCCAAAGATGAGTCTTGCCAAATTATAGTTACAGATAGTCCTCAACTTACCACAACTGAGTTCAAAATTTATGTGCTAAGTGAGAAATTTGTTAAGAGAGTTTTGCCCCATTTTACAACTTTTCTCGCCACATTTGTTTAGTGAATCACTGCAGTTCTTAAATTAAAAACATGGTTGTTAAGTGAATCTGGTTTCCCGGTTGACTTTGCTTTCCAGAAAAGTTGGAAAAGGAGATCACATGACATGAGACACTGCAACCATCATAACTGTGAGTCAGCTGTCAAGCATCCGAATGTAAATCACGTGACTGTAGGGATGCTACAATGGCCGTAAGTGTAAAAAATTGTCGTAAGTCACTTTTTTCAGTGTTGTTGTAACTTTGGTCACTAAATGAATTGTTGTAAGTCAAGAATAGCTGTATAAATTCACATTTGGCCCACACACCATAATGATGTATTCCTACTTCTCATTGCATTGACAAACTGTTGATTGACTCTTATTTAGGAAAATAAATTTTCCTTTTAGTGAACAAGGAGAGGAAGGACTTCCCAACTAGCTGTTGTGAGCATTTGCCAGCATTTGCCTTCAAATTTTCCAACATCTTGATTCCTTCTGGACAGATTCCAGTGAGGCGACTGGGATAACTTACAGCTATTATTCAGGATTCCTTTTGGGCTGTGAGCTCTGAGAAAACAGAGCTCTCTGATATAAGCTCTGCCACTTGTGACCCTGATCCATGTCTCTTCTGGTTCCTTCTTAGGGCTGATGGGGCACAGACAACTTGGATCTAGATCATCAACATCTCTCTTTGGGCAAGGATGATGTTGCAGCTTTGAAGGAGAATCTGCTGCTCCATTCTTCTTAAGCAATTCTCCCTGAACCCAGGACTGAGTTATAAATATCATTCAGCCCCCAACCTTACTTTTCCAGAAATCTGTTGAGCTCATGGCAAGGCTTCAGCTGCAAACCACTTTATTAGAAATGGTTCATTTGGACTCTTTATTAGCTAAGTTTCAGATCCAAGCAAGATTGCTGTCAGGACTTTGATGGGGAGAGTTATATCCCTCTTGTCCTACTTGATCTGTCAGTGATTTTTGTTACTGTCAACGATGATATCATTAAGGACTACCTTAATGGTTGTGATAATACAATGTAATTAATCCACTAGTGACTCTGTTTTTGATCCCTTTCCACTACTGTTTAATAATTACCTAAAGCTGCTGTAATAGAATGTGGGAAAGACCTTGGGAGATGGAGCAAAGGGATGCTGCCGAGTAAACAATCAGGTAAGAGAGAGCGTAGCTCACAGCTGGATAATGGGTAGAGCAAGTGGCTCAAAGAGGACCCTTCCTAGTTTCTTAAGATGTAAAAGAGACCGTGGAAGAATTGTACTTTCAGACTTGCAATATTTTGTTAATGTAGCTTTGCAATAAAGTACAATTAGCTTATCAGGTTGTGTTGCCTTTCTGATCTACCTGGTAAGGGAGACATCAATCTTGCAAGTCTTCAAGTACAATTCCTCAGAGTGTTTGCAAAACGATCTACCTCAATCAGGTGCAGTGAGATATCAATTCCTTTGGTTCTGATTTGATGTGCTGTATCACAGGATGCTGGGATTAGAGAAAATAGCTCAGTAGGGGGGCAAAATGGAGTCATGAGGTAAATTTCAGTCAGTGTATGATAACTAGAAATAGCAGGTTTTTCAGAAGACTCTCCAGATGTCTTAATATGTTTATGCAGTTTGGGTATATTTATGAGTCTGTTTCAACTATTTAACTTTGATATTTTCTAATGTCAGAAGACGTACAGTATCATTGTTTCTATCTATCAAAGGGTGGAATGTAGTCAATTTGTTCATACCTTGAACAGCCAAACAAATCAATATTTCAACACATCTAAGAATGCTCACTCACTAGGATGAGAAGACATATTTTCATTTTCATCCTTGTAAGTGGATCATAAAATTTTATCAGTAGTGTAATAACTTCTTTTCAAGCCTATCACTTTGAGTCTTAATGCTGCACTTGTCTAACCTGATAAAATACTATGAACATTTTATTTCCCCTCGAGAATGCCAAGGAACTATGATAAGACATAGTTAATGCCTTCATGTCTTAAGAGTTGAGATCACTTTGAAAGAGCACCAAGCAAATGCAGAATATTTCCAACCTCTCAGTCAGGGCGTAATAACAATGTCTCGTTGCAGATGAAATGATACCAGTGAAGACATTTGTATAGTTATGTTTGTGTGTCTGTCTAGAAGTTCTTTTAAAGCTAATTCAGGAAAGCATAGGAGGCCTAAAAAACAGGCAGCTAAAACTGTAATGGTGGCATTTAGTAATATTTGGTAAACAGTCCATGTTTGCATCCAAATCCAGCCTCTGCTAATTAACAGCATAAAACATAACAGACAAGAAAAACAAACTAAGATGCTTCAGATTTCACAGCCAGGAATGAGAAAAACATTTTAATCTTTGATTGTTATTTAGCAAAGATAATGTTAAGATAAAGTTTTGAGTAATTGAGGCTATAATTCTACCCCCATTAGGAAATTTTAATCTCTTTGACTTCAAGAGGATTGAGGTCATATATCAGATCATCTTAAAACAATTATTCTTTAAATCACATGATCAACCCAGTTTTGTTCCAATAAGTTCACAACCAAGCAATAAGACTGTTCTGATAAATAAAAAATTATGCCACAATTTTCTGGTCCAACATTTTAACTAGCCACACCACTCAATGATTAAGTAATGGTTAAACATATGTAAAAGAGGGCAAGAGCCAGCTCCGCAAAAGCAAACTACATCACAAGGTATTATAGTTGGGACATCTTTACACAACATACAATGGGTAGTCCATAAACATAAGGTCACAATGAACATTTACAGGTAGTTCTTGACTTACAACCATTCATTTAGTGACCATTCGAAGTTACAACAGCACTGAAAAAAGTGACTTATGACCATCCATGCTGGTCAACCACAATAGAGCAACCAGTAAAATAAATTTAAAGTCCAGAATGCTGAAGCCATTGAATAATAGGAAAAGGTCAGAGCAAAAATTTTATAACCAGAGATTCCACTTGCAGCACCTCTAGATGTGAGGGACCTAAGTGCATTCTTGTCCAAATTGGCAGAAAAGTACAGTCAGTGTAGACAAAACTGAGTCAAATGGAGCCCACTTGACTTGGTAGAAAGGCATTTCTCATTTCTCACTAGTACAAGTCCTACATCTCCTTGAAAGTACTTTGAAGAAGTTGGAAATTACGAATGAAGGCGAATATACGTGTCCCAGGATAATGTTGCAGGATCCAATCTGGGTCAGTCACTGGGACCAGAGGTTTGTCTTCCAAGCTTTTCAACTTGGGCTAGAGTCCATCTTCAGGGAACTTCTAGAGCAGGGATGTCAAACTCAAGGCCCGTAAGCCGGATCCGGCCAATGGGGTGCTTAGATCTGGCCCATGGGGCTTCCCTGGAAACAGCAGAAGACCAGTTCGCAGCACCTCTGCCAACAAAAACAAAGCTTGGAAGGGCCATGTGTGGCCCTCGCGAGATCTGTTTTCTCTGGCAGAAGGTTGCAGGAGGCTGTCACAGCAGAAACGGAGCTCGGGAGCCCGTTTTTGCTGGCAGAGCACTCAGACCACCACAGGCACCCCAACACGAGTAACATTGAGCTGACCATGTTCACCCCAGCGAAGTCAAACACAACCCTGATGTGGACCTCAATGAAATAGAGTTTGACACCCCTGTTCTAGAGAGCAGTTACGAAAGTTAGGAAGACAAAATCTCTGGTCCTGGTGACCGAGCCAGATTGGATCCTATAATTTAGAAATTATTTGTCACTATATATTTTGGGGATGCATCCCATGGCATGTTCAAAAATGTATTTGTTGTCAAAAGCAACAAACATTATTTACAAACAGCGAAGCTCTGTACAAAATATTCTTTACAGGCATAGTCACATTTCTAGATATGTAATAGGTAAAAAGATCTGCCCTATGATTATAGATCCAGCACAGAAGAGTAGACAATCATTGAAACATTTACTTGGAAACAGCAGACGGATATCACTAAGTCACATTACAGCATGTGCTCACAGAACAGAACTGTGCTGGGATTTAGTAAGAAGTGCTGCATTGTGTAAGTATCAGATTTAATTACTTCTGTAATAAATTCTGAAGTTGAATGAACCATTTATCGTATAACATTCATGACCCAGTTCATGCCCTAGCTTAATTAATTTAGTGTGGTGATAATACTTCTCTTTAAAAGATTCAAACAACAAAACAATATTTCCCGATCTTCCCCAGAAAAGAGACATTTTTGCTGCATCAGGTTCTCTGGCCTTTGCAATTGGGCAGACTGAATCAGTTCAAAAAATGAGAAACCGATCATTTCATTCTAAAGCAATACATCAGGAACATCCACTTTTAGCAAAATAGGCTAACAGCTGCAGCTACTGTATATGTAGAGCATGGTAGAGACTACTGATTTATTCTCGTTTGGTCTACAAATCAGTAAATACGTTGACATCTCCATTATTCATTAAACTGATGGGTTGCACTTCTCCTCTTATAAACGAAAGTAGTTAAAAGGACCTTTTAGAAGTGATATATCCCAATCCAATTTGAGGCTCAGAATCACTCTGGCTCTTTTTTTATAGATTATATTAAAAAGTTAGGAAGGACAATTGATCTAATTTGTCAAACCAATCTTACTGCCTCTTCGGTTTGTGGCTTATGGAATGATTGCTTACTGTAATTGGTTACTGTGCATTAGAATGATTGTTTATTTTACAATGATTAAAATTAGTCCATAATAGCCACAACTTATATTTGCTACTGTATTTTACAGGAATGGTTTAGATTTGGATTCTTGATATTCTCATGTCTTTAATTTCTTTGGCTCGCTATTTGATTGTTAGTTGATTACTGTTTGATTGCTGTAAGCCACCCAAAGTTGTTGAGAGTCAGGCAGCATACAAATTTAATGAATTACTGTTATTGTTAGTCACATAGTCAGCCAGATATATAGACTGCATTTATCACTTTTATCCACCTATCAAGTCTTCCTAAGGACAGGCAGATGTTGTTGTTTGATGGTGTTAGAGGTATTGTCAAAGGATGTCAGTTGTTCCAAGCAAAGCTGCTTTTTTGCAATTGACTGGTGATATTTTTTTTTTTAATTTGATTTATATGCCGCCCTTCTCCGGAGACTCAGGGCGGCTTACAATGTACTCAGCAATAGCCTTCATCCTTTTGTATATTTATACAAAGTCAGCTTATTGCCCCCACAACTGGGTCCTCAATTTACCTACCTTAGAAAGGATGGAAGGCTGAGTCAACCTTGAGCCTTGGCGAGATTCGAACCTGCAGTAATTGCAGGCATCTGGTCTTAATAACCAGCTTAATAATAGGGTGCCTTAGACCACTGTACTACCAAGGCTCTTTATGGCATTTTGTCAATGCCAATAATATTCAAGTGATGCTTCAGATGTTTTGTGATTGCACCCAAGTTGCCGAATTACTATTGGTGCTATGCTTGTTTTCTTTTGCCAGTCATTCTATTTCTATTTGCAAGTCTTTGTATTTTGTGATTTTTTTTCCAATTCTTTCTCTTCTTTTCTCTTTCCAGGCATTGCATTGTCTATTATCTGGACTTTTTTTCTTTCTTTCTTCTTTCTTGCTCTTTTTCAGAGCATAATGCTGCTTACTAAAAAGGCACTGTATGGTATGTACATCCATACATAGATGTTTAGAGCAAAGATTATTTGTTTTGGGTACTTATAATGAACCATATTGCTTTTGTTCATGAACAATGTATATTAAATCAATGAATATTAAAAGCCAATGAAACCTTTTAAAAACTACCGTTATTTTGCTAATCAATATCTTTAAAATGCAAAGTTAAAGTTCATCTTGAAGGCCATAGGTTTCTTCTCTGAAAACAGTTCTGTGAACCATTTACACTCCCCTTGATGAATAGTAGCAAATGTTTACACTCAAATTTAACTGGAGGAATTACTGTTTAGAATTCAAGTTGAAGAGTGCTGTTTGAGCCCCTTGTGAATTTCTGACTGAAATGCCAGATGGAAGGGCCTTAGATAATAACCCAGATCAGCATTCCCCAATTTGCTATTCTCCAGATACATTAGAGTATAATTCTGTGAATTTCTAGTCCACACAGATTGTGATTAAACTGTCTGGGAATTCTAATGTTGTAGCCCCAAGACACCTGAAGAGCATCAGGTTGAGGAAAGCTGCAGTACATTGAACATCTTTTTGAGCTTTATCGTATATGGGGAAACATTTTATAGCATTCAGGCTGGATTGTTGAAAGGACTTCTGTTACATTATTCTTGCCAACAATTCCAATTCAAGTATTTCACAGGCATTCAAATTACATTTAGCACCATTCACCAACAATCAAAACTAAGTCAAGGGTGATCACCAAGTTTTATCTTACCCCTTAGAGCAGGCAGCAGGGACCTTTCTTTCTTGTCATCGCATTTGTTACACTCACTGAAGTACAGCAGGAGAAACACATCCACCAAAACCCACATGAGAGAAGTGGCAAGAACCACTTTGCAGTAGACAAATCTCCTCATCCTTTATTGAGTTATTAGTTACAGGCTGTAGTAAAAGCAGGTGCTAATACGATGCTATATCCAAGCCAAGAAAGCTGGCACGAATGCACAGATGAGAACATCCCACTGAAAAATAAAAGCAGAAAAATAGAATTAGCTGACAAGTAAACAACTTCATAAACACAACCATTTTCATCTGTTACTGTTTTCTTTTAAAACATGTTTATTAATTTTTATTGTCATCCATTTGTACGCAAGAAATGCATACCAAATTTTCAGAAACAAAAATGAAACAAACTTTCCAGTATGTAATGGAATGTGAAAATGGCTTTGGGAGACAGGAGGAAGAGTAGTAGATTAGGCAACAGTCAGAGAAGAGGCAACTGTGCCTGTAGAAGGAATAGGGATGCAACAAATTTCTCAGAAGGGGCACTCACTTGTTTCATGGACTGTAAAGGTATGGGGAGGGGAATATACTTTCAGATAATGGTCAGCCTCACAAAGTAATCGAGAGAAAAAACACCCAGATGTACTAACATTAACTTTATTACAGAGTTATATTAAAGAGAATCTTTCAAGTCATTCCCATATTCCATTATAAGTATATTTTAGTGGTGGTTGCTTTGATGTTTTCCAAATTTGGGTTATGAGTATCTTTAAAGAACTCTTCAGAAATGTACGCTGGCTCAAAAAAAGAAAAAAAAATGAGCAAGCATAAACAGAGGATTTAATGAATTCTCAAGTGAAATATCTTGTTGCAATAACACTTACAAGAAAATGGATAAATAGTGTTAACTACAGCTAAAAGATGCGCTATTCATGCTCAAGTAGGCAGACATGGAGTATCAGCATCAACAGATATTGTTTCATATTTCCTTTAATAATACATGCAATTGCATGCTCCTCCCCGTAAAAATCGCTTTCTGTTGACATTATTTGGGGTTCTTGTCTGGTCTATGCATTACTTCACACAAATAATTATTGTGGCATTTTCACTTTTACAATATGAAACCATTTTCCAAAGTAAGTCAACGATGTAATTCAGTTTCAGTTGATTATGATCAGTCAATAATGGCGCAGTTAATCTCTTGATGACTCAGTTGAGAAAATATACATATATTGAAAAAAATGGGAACATAATACTGGGTGCGAAGTTCTTTAAATTTAAATTCATACAGTTTCATTTATTACCTAGCAGCAGGTTGCTTCCTCTATTTACTTTTACCATTTTTTTTATTTTGTAAACTTTTACCTTTACAATGTATTAAAAACAGTTCTACAAACTGAAATCCCAAGCTTCTTCAAGTGTTTTGAAGAAATGTCCCAATGAGCCACATAACGCAGGAAGGAAAAAATGAGGATACAACTGGGACATTTGGAAGAATCAAGCACAGTGGAATACATTTTAAGCCCAAATTCAGAAACCATGAATAGGAGGAATCAAAGCTGGTAGGCTGAATAAATAATGGCTTTTTTCTTCAAATCTGCAGGGACTCCTTTCCTCCCCCACCCTTCCAAAAAGGAACAGACAAGCAGTAGTTTTAAATACCTTGGTAGCCATTCCCAGGAACTACAGGTCAGAAAAATAGGACCACTAATTGGATCATTATCTTAGAAACTTTGATAGAAGTAGCCACATTGAAACTGATGAAACTGATTAGGAAATAAAAAGATGCTATATATAATTTATTTATAAGATACCACCCAAAAAGCAGGGTTATCTTTGAATTATGGTTTTGTTATAGTGAAGTGGTTTTTTTTTTCCTTATAAAATTCAAATATTTAAATTTCCATTCACTCATTCTTTAGAATTCGACTTATTAACTCCAACAAAATAAAATAATTAAAACAAATTCCTTTATAATACATTATTAAAGGCAATTTCTTAAATACAGTTAATAGGCTTATTTCCATATAGTTAACTTTCCCACTTAACATATTAAAATTATAATTGTGGCGCAGTGGTTAGAGTGCAGTACTGCAGGCTACTTCTGCTGAGTGCAATTTGGCAGTTCAAATGTCACCAGGTTCAAGGTTGACTCGCCTTCCATCCTTCCGAGGTGGGTAAAATGAGGATCCAGATTGTTGGGGGCAATAGGCTGACTCTGTAAACCGCTTAGAGAGGGCTGTAAAGCACTGTAAAGCATTATATAAGTCTAAGTGCTATTGCTATTGCTATAATTCCATGCAATGTTTCAAAGGGCTTTCAGTTTTGGTGGACACCACCACAGAGGTTGTCCACTCCTGATTAAAACATGTGACTGATCAATCCACATCTCAGTTCCCTCATGCCTAAATGGACCTTATCTGTTTCCTATCTTCTTTGGCACCAGTTTCACCAATTTCCATAAAAAGTCTTTTTAACACTATCTTTTCTATGTCCAGCTCTGAGTGTAGCTGCTAGAACAGCTGCTAATTTTTAAGATGTCTCTTCTCTCCAGTTACAGCACATTAGCAGACATGCTCAGAGACAAGCCCACTCCAAGCATGGTAGGACAAGTGACACTCAGTACTGGAAACTAGGATTTTCCCCATGCTAGGCAGTAAGGAAGATCCCATTGTGAAAACAGGATTTATTTTCCCCCTGCTAACCTTTCTAGAAAAAAGGGGATTTTCATGTCAGCGCAAGGGGAAAGCCGGAGGAAGGAAGGCTATAAAGTTGTATGTATGTACAAATGCCTGTGGGTATGACAGACAGTGCAAGAGAGGGGAAGGATATGTTTGTGTGCCTCTCTGATTGGAAGGTGAAAACACATTTCTGTGTGGTTATGTATCAGGGGAATGCTGTGTGTCTGTTTCCTGTTTTTTATGGAACTATCTTAAGATAACTTTGACAAAAGACGGTGTTTAACCTATCCCTAAGGAATCAACAGCTTGCACACTATTTGATAACCAAGCCTGCTGCTCTCCATGACTTTCCTTTATTAAAACAAACTCAGTGGAAAAAGCATGCAGAAAACTCACACATTCCTATGTCATACGCAATCCAAGTCTAAATAATTTACATGGGTAACAATTAGGGCAAAATCTACTACACAGGTAGTTAATTGAGTTTTGGGAGAGAATGTGTCTCAGCCCAGCCCACCTCACACGGATGATTTTCCACATCAATTATGACTTGCCCCCTGCAACAAGAATAGTGGAGGGTGTAAACTCATATTATATATCCAATTTTATCATGACACCCAAGCAAAATCTGCAAAGACTTTCAAAATAGTATTCATGCCATCTAAGAAAATGAAATATATAATACTCAAGGCATATAGATCTGGATTCTAAAGGTTAATACAAATAAGTTTGTAGAAGAAAAACTTGCCAACCCTTCCACTGCTAGAAAAACTTGGCCTCCTTTCTCCCTTTAAAAAAAAAAAAGCCAAAGGTTTCCCCTGACCACTTGTGTCCAACACTAGGGGGCAGTGCTCATCTCCATTTCTTAGCCAAGGGAATTAGCATTGTTTGGAGACCCTTCCATGGTCATGTGACCAGCATGACAATACACCAAGGGGCATGGAATGCTGTTACCTTCCCACTGAAGTGATACCTATTTATGTTCTTGCATTTAGCAATAACACTTAGGCTTATATACCACTTCACAGTGCTTTACAGCCCTCTCTAAGCGATTTACAGGGTCAGCATATTGCCCCCAACAATTTGAGTCCTCATTTTACCAACCTCGGAAGGATGGAAGGCTGAGTCAACTTTGAGCCGGTGAGAATCAAACTCCTGGAGTGAGCAGTGAGTTAGCCTACAATATTGCATTCTAGCCACCTTGCCACCACAGTTCTTATTTGAATGCTTTTAAACTGCTAGGTGGGCAGTAGCTGGGACAGGAACGGGAGCTCACTCCATCATGCGGTACATGCTCTCAAACTGCCAACCTTCCAGCCAACAAGCCCAGCTTCTTAACTGTTAGGCTACCATGCCTTTCCCCCACCCTCCAGTTCCTCCAAAAACTATTTCTAGAGGATGGAAATGGAAAGATTTTCGTTTGTGATTCTCCCCAAACAATTTACATTTGGAAGCCATGCTAATTTTGGATTGTTTTCCTCCTTCTTCTCCTCCTTTGGATTTTCTAGAAGACTCCCTCAACCTTGGGATGGGGACGAGTGTGGGTGACTGCAATGAGGAGGAAGGAAATGAAAATTTTCTTTTCATTAAATTATTCCATGTATTCTATATAAAGCTCTGGGTTGAAATACAAGCAATTACATCCAAGAAATGCTTATATCATTCTTGGACTATTTCTAACTATTTCTAAACACTCAGTGAACTTAAAATCTCTCAGTGAGAAATCTGAAATGCTCTCCGTGTAATATTTTTACCGTAAGTAATATATTGACAGCTATATATTCCAGAAACAGAGAAGAAAATATACTAGACCGAAAGGATGCAGCAGACTAGAAAGTGCCTGAACAAATTCAGAACGTCATTCAACCTATTCAGTTCATGACTCTTTAATTTAGTTTTCACTGTAGTGTTAGAGGCTTTGAGCCAGCATCCGAAGATACAAAGGCTGCTACACCACAGATTTAATATACACAGGCCTTGGCTTCCAACAGTGCTCTTCTTAAAGCAGCTTAAGTGTCTTTTAATTGAACTGTAATGCCAAGGAACATTGCATTTCTAATATTAAATATCAGAGCAGGTGAGAGTTCATAGACTTTTAAGACATTTCCAACATTTTGTAAACCAACATTGGTTAGAATCAAGTCTGGAAACAGAACAGTTAAACTCAAAATGAATGTTTATCTTGGGAACGTAATGCTTCATAATTGAAGAAGGGATTGTGCAAAAAGTTCATGAATTGGGGCTTTTACAGAGCTCATTACTGGAGAGCTATAAAAACACTGGTGGTTAAAAGTTGTTGTTAACAAGGTAAAAAGCCTGAAAGCTGCATTACAATGGAAGCATAAGTAATATGTGATAACATGCTATCTGCGGAATGGTTCTCGCCTAAAAGTAAAATCAATTTGCTGGCAGCACGGCCAACTATAAAAGCCATTTAAATCATGAGTTCTGAACCAAGGACAGGAGAATTACAAAAATAAATTACTATCCGCTCAATCGCCCTTAAAGGGGATTATAATTGTCCCGATTCACAATTTAGTTACATTTTAATAATGTAT